GGGTGACGCCCTCTCGCTGCGACGGTGTGTCCTTCCGGGGTCAGAGGGCGCCCTGTGTGTCGTTGTTGTTGCTGTGTGGTTGTCGCGCTGAGCAGTTAGCTAGCGGCAGTGTTTTTCTGCAGATGTCAATAAACGGCTGTGCTCCTTGGCTAGCTCACGGGAAGCAAGACCAAACGACACCTCCGTCTCCACCTTGTCTGAGCTCGCCACAATATTAAACATATCAGGTCCCCATAAGGAGAATCATGTGCTAACGGCTGTCTAAATGACTCGGGTAAAGTTTGTAGCATGCATGCTTGTTGTTTTTGTCTGCTTCCACTTGTCTTTGCGCTAGGATGATGTCGGTGTAACCGTGTAGTCATATTCGTTGTGTTCCCACTAGTGCTGTCAACGTTAATCTCGTTGAAATGACGTTAACGCCACAACACGGCAAATCTCCGTGCGTGGGGCTAGACGGCCAACACATTAATGAGCTAACTGCGTTAACATACTAGTTCCCACCCATGTAATTGAGCATTGCGTGGCACATCCAACATACTGTTTTACTTTAGTCCATGACGCGCTTACCTTCAGGGTCATACGTCACATGAAAACCAAATAAGGACAATAGTTTGTGGCAATCTGTTGATGTAATTAGCTGTAATCAATAATAAAGAGTTGCACTAGTGATCCAGAGCACAGCTAACTATTGAATATTAATTCCAATCATGTCTTGGGCTTTTTTTCTACTTACATGACTTTACTGACTGGCTGAACTACAGGATGGACTCCAACCCTGATTCTGTATTTGAGGATAGCCTAAGAGTCTATAGCCATGCTAGCATTTGCTGCATTCAGCATGTTCAGTTCAGCTCCATGTGGGTCAGGAGGTCGTGCCCTTTAGGCAAAGGGTAATCCTGGTTGGGTTAATCCATACAACCTCATCTGCAGGCCTGCATAATAATGGTCAGGCCAGGTGGCTGCCCCTCCCTGAGCCTGGTTCTGAAAGTACTTCCTGTTAAACTGGAGATTTTCCTTCCCACTTTCGCAATTAGGGTGTCATGGACGTTGACGGATTGTTGTGGTTTTCTCTCCATTATTGTAGGGTCTTTACCTTAGAATATAAAGTGCGTTGAAGCAACTGTTGCTGTGGTTTGGCGCTGTATAGATAGAATTAAATTAAAATCACATACATGGAGTTAAACTGCTGTTAAAATGAGTGGTCCCTGAGCTCGTTGACTCAAATTGCAGGGGAAAACCATTTCTCTCATCTTCTTTGTCGCTATTGTGCTTTATTTAGTTTGGTCACACCATTGGCATTCCCCCTCATTCACTGTACATGGGAATAGCATTACATTAGGGTGTGAGCCTTTATACTGTGCCAGTTTGCGTGTGAAGAGAGGGCTATCATATCAGCTGTGTGAGAGTTTAAGCAGCACGCTTGCAGCAATCTGCTTTTTCACTCCCCAGCTCCTTTATCCAGCCACAGCAGTTTTCCTGTGGGTTATTCTTCCTATCCCTCCACAGGAAAGCCGTCCCCCGCTGCTGCTTCCTATCCTGAGCTTTCCTCCTTGCCCTTGGAGTTGGACAGCCCTTTTCCTTCGACACTATCGTTCCACGTTGATAACTTAAGAAGTTTTTAAGTGTCTGTTTTATGAGTAGTACATGTGTTTATTGTGGGGGCCTCCTGTCTCTGAATAGTTACCTGTCAGCGATGAAGATTAAGTCCAGAGATGTGATCACTGCAGAAGCTTCACATATGTTTGCTTCCTACTGTCTCGCTTTACCTTCCTGCTATTGCTTTGTCCTGATTTGTATACATAATGGGGTTGTTTATTCGTGTTCTGCTCTTCCAGGAACATGGAGGCCTTCTTCGAATCTTCCCAGAGGGAAAGGCCCAGTTTGCCGACATAGAGCCAAAATTTGACCGTCTGCTTTTGTTCTGGTCGGACAGACGGAACCCTCACGAGGTTCAGCCCGCTTACGCCACAAGGTCAGTGTCTAAGTGTGTCCGCTGCACATGCTCAGACAGTCTCGTTCTCTTTTACGGGAGGCTCACTGCTCCCGTTCCATCTTCACAGGTATGCCATCACTGTGTGGTATTTTGACGCAGACGAGCGAGCCAGAGCTAAAGAAAAGTACTTAACAGGTAGGATTTAGCGTATCAACTGCACAGTCTTTGCTTCTGGGTATCAACCCCTTTGTGATGTCTTACGTCATCTCTTGTGTGTTTGTTTCCCTTGCGTGCAGGTGCGGGGGATAAAGGAGTAAAAGTTGATCTCAACAAATCGTCAGATCCCAGCTAGTGGGATGCACAGTTCCCCTGCAAACAGCCATTAAGTGCTCTGTCCTAAGAATGTGGCCTATAGTGAGCGTGCGAGTGTGTGTTTTAACTGCCATTAGTATGAGTGGGTGGAAGATCTGTGCTTATGGAGAGAGAAAAAACAGACAAAAATCTGGTGATTTCTGTTCATTTTCAGCCAACCTCTGCGACCCAGCGGAACTTGAATGTCATAACATTGTACTGAAAGGGATAGTATGTTGTTTTTGCTCTATTTTCTTTCACCTCTGGTGAAGGAAGCTTATGTTACAACTGACATTTTCAGCCATTTGCTTTGAACAGGTATTAAGCTCAGAGCAAGTCTTCATCTTTTTTTTTCTTTTTTTTGCTGTTTATTTTTTAAAGGTACAGTGTTCTGCAAATTTGTCATGTGTTATGCTTTTCACAATGAATCAGCTGTTATAATAAGCTACTGTATGTGCTTATGTTTGCAGTCATTTCAGAAATGATCTAAAATTCAGATTCCCGTCAGAACGTCTTAGTTTAAGTTCTTCTGCAGCGCAGTAGATGCTAATGGAGGATACATGAACTCGCGCTGACTGATCATTTGTATTTTCAGCGTTGCAATGTGAATATGCGCAGAAATGCATCTTAAGGCTACCTGAAACGTGATTTCTGAGTCAGTTTATTTACGCATACCAACCTTCCACACGCTGCATGAGCAAATATTTTTAAAGCGTGTCTAATTTGTTTTAATCCAGTATGTCTGGACTAAGCAGTATTTGAACTCTCTAAGCAAGGTGCAAGCCCCCCCCCCCCCCCAAAAAAAACTTTTTTTTAAAAAGGCATGAACTGTGTTGCTAAAAGCACTTTTCAGATTTGGTTTTATTGCAAATCGTCATCTTCCGATGTCAAACAGTCTTATGCAGTTTTTCCTCACATTATTCAGGCTTAACATGAATTATCGGACTCAACATCAAGTTTGCAAGACACATGCTTAGACAGTATCCTTGAAAAGGACTCTGTTTTTATGTGCAGTCCTGGTTGCACCATATACAGTACAAAGATCTATGCTGCTCCCTGCAGGAAACTTGCTGTACTGCATCTTTTTTTGTTTGTTTGTTTGTTTGGAAGTTTTTTGTCCGTAGATGCGTTGCTGGCTTCAAATTGAAATGAGCATCTATTTTTGGAAATAAAAATAAAAATTTCTCAGTTTCAACAATTGATATGCTGTCTTTGTGCTCTTTTTGGTTTTTAGTTATTTTACGCAGTTACGTTCTAGAGAAGAGCTGACGTGTCTGTGCTCAGAAGTGCTCTCCTTTTCATCACAGTTCAATGGGAAAATGTGTCAGGGCTGCAGAAGCTGTTATTAGTCACGGAGCATGATCATTATGTAACAGTCGTCATGGGTTCACCTAAACCTATTTGTGTTATGTAGGGTTTGAAGATTTGCCATGAGTAAAGGTGACAGCTAAAATTTGTGATATTGGAGTTGCAGTTTAAAAGGACAGAAATTAAAATGCTCCATCGCATTAAGTACAGATAGATTAGATTTGAATAGTAGTAACTGGCTTTTTTTCCATTGTGAAACCCACAACTGCACGCTGCCAAATTTCAGAGGCAGTGAAGCAACCACAAACTGTAACATCTGCGCCATCATCTTGTCATGGGGGAAATGAGGTTATTCTTCTAGCAAGCTCTATTTGGTTTTCATCAATGTGGTTATCTCAGCTATCCAGTTTTTTCTAGTCATCTGCAGATGCTGCGCTGAAATCTCATTTACTGTAGGACAATTTGACACAATGTTGAGGTTCTTTTAAATCACCTGCCAGACACAGTTTCTATTCACTCTTTAGTCTTTGGAGAAGGCTTCAGATCTTTGAAGATGACCCTCCACGCTTCCAATAGCAGAGAGGACAAGTCCTCGTTGTCAGGTGTTCAAAGAAAATGGATCACTCCCTAAAGAGAGTTTAGTCATCAGTACCTAATCTTGTTTTTTTGATTTTCTGTTCCTAAGTGACCACAAACCCTTGTGAGTTCTCCTTTGAGTGTTTCATTAATAGAAGCTGGAGAGGAAAGCCATCTCTTTCTGCTTTCTAGCAAGACTGTTGAAGTTAAGTATCTTTACCGTTAGTTTCTTGTGCTTATCTAGCTCAAGGCACTGACATTTATGTACTGAGAATTACTAGATTCCTAAAAGGAAAAGACATACTCCTCATGTGTTAATGTCATAGATGACTCCAGGTGCTACAGAAGTCTCCACACAGTCTCTGCACATTTTTTGTACAAAAAGATGAGAATCTGTAGCTGCCAAAGCTGTACGTGATCCACATAGAAACTATTCTGGTGTGATATTAAAACTAAACTTCATTTGTACATTATTTTTCTTTTTTGTTTTTTAATATGAACTAAATGAATATCTTCTCTATAGAAACAAATCTGTATGGAAAAAATGAAACTTGTTCATAGATGTTACATAAAACAGAAATACAGGACATATTACAGAGATCAGGATATATATTAAGTAATATTCAATATAAACCTTTACAAGCAGATCAGGCTTTGTACAAAGTGTGTGCAAAATCACGTCCCTTTACTGGGTCTGTATACATACTGGCAACAAAAGTCTATTAGTTCTTTAGACAAAATAGAAAATTGGATGTTTGTAGTCTGAAGGGCACTTTGATCCCAGTGTGCCTTGGTCGGTCAGTCAGTGTGCAAAACTTTACAATTTAAAAAAACAAAGCCACAGGTCCGAGGAAGTCATCATGGCCTTCTGTCAGTAGTGGCTGAGCTCCTCTGGAGGAGTGAAGTTGCAACTGTCATCGCCGATGTAGGCGCCGATGCCGCCGCTTTGGCTCCCCCACTCATAACTGTCGGCGGCGAGACTAGAAAGTCAAAAATCAAAACACTTGAAGCATCTCATGAACATTTTTTTCCTGTGCAGCAGTTTCCAGGGAACAGGTTGTGGCACGCTTACCTGGCTTGGATGTTTTGGGGCATTATGCTCCACGCTAGGTCATCGTCACTGTCGTAACGCCGCGGGTTGTCAAAGAAATAGGCCCTAGAGGAGAAGATGTGACCAGGAAGCCCAGTGCCGCTCTGCGGTACAAGACAAACAGAAGGCATCAGCGCAAACACTCAAAGGTAACTGTCCTCCTTATAAACCTGTGATCTCAAGGAGGGTTCCTGACTGGTTTAAGGTAACTGCTGGCTCACCCTGTCCAGTTTAGGCTGTCGAACTCTGAAGAAGAAAACGACAAGAGATGTGGGGAGCAGCTCCCACACGAACAAGATCACTCCGAAGACGATGTAGCCGGTGTCGCCCAGAGTCGACTGTAGGTCTGCCTGAAAGAAAAAAAATTGACGCATGCATTTTAGAATAACATGAGAGCAAAAAGGGGACACATGCAAGTCTTGCTAAATTCTGACCAGCTAGTCTGAACAGTCAAAACACAGCTAATTGGCTTTTAAGAGATAAGAGATAAAATATTTAAAGGAGCTGGAAAACAGACTGATTTCTCTAGAACTTGCACTAAAACCCACTTTTTGTTACATATTTGCAGCAGAGCAAAGAAACAAAAAAGTAAGCTTTAGATGGGCCGGTCTGAGCTAGCATAGCTGCTTCCCCTTGTTTCCACACTTCCTACAGTCTCTTTGTGAGGTATCAATTTACTATAGAGAGCAATCATTCCTCTTATCCAGTTTATCCAGTTAGACAGGAAACCAAATGACATTTTCGGACAAATGCACTCAAACTTAACATGAACCATCGTGACCCCCTCCCCCAGTGATTCACCTGGTCTGAAACGTTGTACCAGTCATAGTCAAAGGAGTTAATACTCTTGTTTGAGAGTGCCAACACCACCAGATTGTAGCAGGCCCTGGATGCGTACAGAAGGATGACGATGGCTCCTATAATCGTCACCTGGCACACTGATGTCCCCTTCAGTTTAAAAAAAACAAAACAAAATAGAATGACTCGTGAATTCATGTTAGGCTGAAAATAAGACAAACTGGTGAGACGTCAAGAAATGGCTTAAAGAAAGTGCTCTAGATCGTCACTAAAAATATTATGTGCTTCCCCTTTCCACGCCTCACCACTCCACTAAGTTTCATGAAACTGTGCTGCTGGGTTTTTTGCATCAGCATGCTCAAAACTTGGAAAACAGACCTCCTTCATGCACAGGAGAAATTTCTGTATCTTTAATTAAGGTGTGATTGGGACACAAGAAGCATGTCCACACCGTATCGAACCTTAAGCTTTCGTATGCACCGCAGCACAATTTGTCACGCACAAGAACGACGCCCAGTTGCTAGGGAACTATCTCTACGTGGCAAGCACAAATTATGTGCAGAAGTGACTCTTCATACAAGGGTGCACAATACCTTTTGATGCTAGTGACGCACCGGCTGTTAAATCAGTCGTAAGTGGCAGTGTTCAGGAAGTCTACACCGCACCAATCCTGCCTGACTTTGAGTTGCAGGACATCTCACCTTGGACTCCAGGTAAATGTTGGCCAGCGACATCTTGGCGATCTTGTAAAGACACAAGGCCAGCGAGATGGCGCACAGGACGAAGAGCGTGTCGTTGATCGCGACCCTCACCAGCACGATGGTGTGGGCTTCTGCAGAGGACATCCTCACCAGCAGGGCGCACACCAGATTGACAACTAAAAACACCAGGCTGATGAACAGGAAGGTGAGATACAGTGGCAGCCTGGTGGTGAGGAAACAAAAACAGGCAAAGATTTATTAACCCCAAAAATTACTATTAAAAAGAATAAGACTCTTTATTTTATTTAAGTCCACCAGCTGGTCTTACCTGTACTTCAAAAGCTCCGGTGCATATTTGGACTTTGCCTTAAAAATAACCTGTGAAAAGGAAACAAACAGTTTCATTCAAATGAGCAATGGCCTTGTGTCAGACTGCTTTCACTTCTCTGTTCTTGCTCTCCGAAACGCACAAGACACTCTGATTAAACAGGAACCTCCAGGCTGTAAAACTATTTAGAGCTGAACTTCGGATATGCAATGGTCACACAGCGCAGGGCCTCAGAAGCTTTGAGCCTTGCTTCTCGTTCGCAACTGTGACTCACATCAAGCGCAATAGGATTTACGCTAAAAATAGGCTTCAGGCAGAGGCCAGAGGAGCTATTATTTTGTATCTGGATTATGTAAGCAGTTGAAGGAATGATTCACTGCATCCCACTTTTGCACCTGATGTGAATGGGAGTCTGTTGCACTGAGAGCAACAGGTAATATTCAGTGGACGACTTACTTCCTATATGAATCACCGTTACAGTGGCATGTCAAGCCCGGGGTCATGGCCTGTATCCTGACAATGCCTCTCTAAAATTCAAAATCCTGAAAAATTTAAAAATAAATAGAGCCATCCATCCAGCCATAGTGGGTGGGCATAAGAAAATTATGACATGAGGTTTATGGACCTATATTAGGTCCATAGGGGGCAATTGTGGCTCAAGAGTTGGGAGTTCGCCTTGTAATCGGAAGGTTGCCGGTTCGAGGCCCAGCTTGGACAGTCTCGGTCGTTGTGTCCTTGGGCAAGACATTTCACCCGTTGAAAGGGGTGGTCAGAGGGACCGGTGGCACCAGTGTCCGGCAGCCTCGCCTCTGTCAGTGCGCCCCAGGGTGGCTGAGGCTACAATGTAGCTTGCCATCACCTGTGTGTGATGACTGGATGTGTAAAGCGCTTTGGGGTCCTTAGGGACTAGTAAAGCGCTATACAAATACAGGTCATTTACCATATTATTAAAATGTGTTTAAACTGGCCAACTTGTTCAATGCAAATGAATTTTATTTATATAGCACCAAATCACAACAACAGTCTCCTCAAGGTGCTTTAGAGTGGAAGGTAAAGTCCCAACAATAGTACTATGACAACCCCAACAATCAGATGACCTTCTGTGAGCAAGCACCTGGTGACAGTGGGAATGAAGAACTCCCTTTTAACAGGAAGAAACCTCCAACAGAATCAGGCTCACAGAGGGGCAGCGATCTGCCTTGACTGGCTGGAGGCTATACCTAGAGTGAACAGGTGGTCCACCTTTCTCCCCGTCCTCCCATCCATGACAGTAGAATACACAGAACAATCACATACATCAGTGTTTTAAAGCAGCTCTCAGCATTTCCACATTATCCCACTCAAATCTACTCTTTGCCCCACATTTAGTTTGTTTGCTAGTTCATTATCACACTGCAAGTTGGATGTTGGACTAACTGGTTTATAAACCAGCTGGGGTGTGACACAATTTTTTTAGCCCAGACATAGACTTCCCTCATTAATCAAACACTGTGCTGGCACACGAAAAAGAAAAATAACATCTGAGCAACTCACCTGCGCAAAGTACAGGTTCATGAGGCAGAGCGTGAAGAACTGCAGGCAAACGGGGAAGCAATAGAGCAGCCAGAAGGGAAAGGGTCCCAGAGTGTTGGCCGTGACAAAGTTCTTGAAGTAGAAGGAGAAAAGCACGGTGCGCAGCGCCGACCACAGCAGGCACAGAAACAGGAACACGGTCTGGTAGCTGAAGCGCTTGTGTCGGTACCGCAGGACCAGCCAGAGCTGGATGTAGATGAAGATGAAGAGGAGAGAGTAAAAGACGGTGTAGACCACCGTCAGGCCCAAAGTGACGTAGGGTGGCACGGCCGGGCTCAAAGTAGGCAGGGGCTGCGAGTCGTCCGACGCCCAGAGCCCCTTCTCCTCCGCCAGAGCCTCCATGACCTGCTCTCTGTGTCCGGGGTGAGAAGGAGGGGGGGTGATCACCGCCAGCTCCTGCGGCTTCACGGAGCCAGCTTGTCGGCTCTTGTCTCTCTCTCACGGCCGGCTGAAGAGAGAGATGGAAGCCAGAGGGAAAACAGGAGAAAGGGGGAGGAGAAAACAAGGCTGTCAAGACGAGCGAGGAGGGAAAAAACGCAGCAAGTCCAACTTCCTGCAGCCGATCCGGAGAGCGAAGCACGTGATCAGCGATGAGAATGAGCCGTTTGTCAGGAGAGAGAGCAGGAAGCCGCTCAGAGTTGCAAGCAGGAGCTCCGAGAGAGGACCAGCCTCCTCCAGCGCCCCCATCCGCTCCGTTCTGCTCACTCGTTTACGCGACGCATCAGCTGACGCAAGTCGCCGTACCTTTAACCCCGCGGAGGGGTTTCCCACCGCAGCGCAGATCCCGGGAGAGTTTACATGTGTTTACCTTCAGTTCATCAAGATGAGTGAAATAAAGAGTGTAATTAATCACGCAGGGGGAGCTGCCCTTCCGGTTCACACAGTTTAATGACAAAAGTCAGGATCCTTAATCAGTTTTTATTTTTCTTTCATTTTGACTTTTTGAAATGTATTTATTTTTTACTCAGTTTAGTTTCAGTTCCTTTCCAGGGTGGAAAGTAACTAGTTTTTGACGTTTTATAATTTTTTAGTTTCAGTTTAGTTTTTAGTACGTAAAAAATATTTTTACTTCGGTTTATTAGTTTCAGTATTAGTTGTTTCCTTTATTGAATTCCTGTTAATGTATGGAGAGAATGTGTCAGGGTTAAGATTCAGGAAAATCTGGAAAGGTATTATACTGAAACAATGTAATGAACATGTCCGCCAAAGCCTCATCAGGTAATTTCTGAGAATAAATTTTACCAAATTAACAAATATTAAACCTGAAGCTTTTTACTCGATTTATTTATTTATTTTATTCGCATCTAGTTTTACTTACTGTAATAACCTCATGTTTTGAACGAGAACGTGTAAATCCCAGATCAACATTACGGTTTAAAATGTTTATGAAGTTTAAAGACTTATTATACGGTAATTAATGAATTAATTATTCTTAATGAGATACATTTGCATACAAAAAGGAGGAAAATGTTATTTTTATTTAGCGTCTGTCACTTGTCCTCTTTACAAGACAGAGCCTCAGACTTTCGAGGTTATCTCATTTCAAATTACAGTTAATCAGAATGAATTTGTATATTTAATAGATTATTGCAGTCCAAAGGTCCTTACAGATGACTGACAAGCCAATCGTAAAACAGGGCAAAAATTTAATTTACAAAAAGGACACAAGAATTGAATGAGGTCAATAAAGTAATGATTTTTTTTTTCGGTTTGAACCGCCGGTGCTGTGCTCACAGTCAGAGGTGTTTGCCTCTTTCAGGACATCACTTTAATGCGTCAGGTCACAGGACTTTCTAACATTAGCTTTGCCTCTTATCCACACTGAACTTCAAAAAACTGGATTTAGAAACCTTACTGCCTGTAACTGGAATGAGCTCCAACAAATACAGAAATAAATAAACATGGAGCTACATTTTCTGATGTTACCAGAACATTTCAAAATGATCTATTTATGAATCTGAAATCATTCTCATGCATACTTTTCCTCAACTATGTATAATGTGTCTTTCTATTTCTATGTACATTCTTTCTTGATCAAAGGGGGACATCCTGTTTAAATAAAGGGTGTAATACTGAACATGATCTAGATCCCAGAGCAGAAAAGTCTGTCTGAGCAGTTGAAACCTGAGGTTTTGACTCTCTGAGAAGACTTTTTCCATGTTTAATATGAATATGCAGCACTGTAAGAGTATGTTGATGACACAAAATAAGAAAAAAGTATGATAGGTTGACTTTATGGTATAAAGACACTGTTTATACAGTTAAATTATCATAAAGAAACAGCCAACCTTGGCGAAAGACAAACTTTTAAATGGTCAACAAATGTTTGAACTAATCCTACAGAGGCGATCGTTTCCTGACTTTTAGTTCCTGTTATGAGTCATGATCCAAAAATACTGAATGCTACAGCTTTGATGAAGCAGATCGGTTCTTCATTTGACCTTTCCTGCCTGGAAAACACCCACATTTTTAGAACTTCACAGATACATCTTGCGATGTAGCTTTTTCATTTAAAAAAGTAAGTCCCATGGCTTTCATGACATCATCAGGATTATTTTCTGCCACATTTTAAACTACATCCTGAGTTTCAGAAGACCTCATATAGTTTTCATACATTGAATAGTCCACCTGGTCACAAATAAAACACTTTTTGTGTTTTAAAAATGAAAATGAAATCAAATGTAACATTTCCCTGTAATTCCAACCGCAAGTCACATAATTCAGTTTATGACCCAATCGGTTATTTATCCAATGTGCACAGAAATCTAAGGGACGTTTGTTTGTTATGGTAAATATCCTAGCAGCAAGGTTTTGGTTTCACAAGACCAGGGCATGTGAACACGAAGAATGTCAAGGATGGAGGTCACTGTGATCCATTAATCTTTTAGCACACGGGGACAGTGCCAGCCAGACACCAAACAGGATGCCGTCAGCTACAGTACCTCCGCCTTGGCTGTGAAACCACAGGTTGGTACTCTCCAATATCAGAGATATGTGATTTTGTGTTTGGCCTGTGTAAATGCGAACATAAATGCATAGATTTTTACTTCAAAGATGAATAATTCGACAAGAGGCTTAATTACGGTATGTCTTAATTAGGCCAGGTCAGTGTAGTTTGTACAGAGTGCTGGGATGAACTGTTCTGCTGTTGGGGGATACCATTGCTCTGACATGGAGTGGGAGGTGTGGATGGATGTCTTAGTCCATTCCAAAGTTTAGGTGGGTGGTAAGTGTCAAAGTAACATCCACATGAATGCCAGGACTCAAGGCATTTCCCAGCAGAACATTGCAGTAAACTGACCAGTCAGTGGTTTCACTGTTGTGGCTGTGTACTGTCAGTCTATACAGATAGCATAAAACCTCTTTGTACATGGTATATATCGGTTTCTTTGTTCACTCAGAATTACTTCAGCCTGCCTGCAGCCCTTCATATTGCCTGCATCTCTGGTTTCATCTGTAACAGTATTGGAGTGATAATGAAATGGCACTTCAGTCTGATTATCAGGCCACAGCGTCCTGTTATAGACACATCAAACACCAGCCTGCTGGTTCCTAGGCAACTTGGTAAGAGAAAGCAGACTCGCTCAGACAGTAACGAGTCAGACCTAATGGCATCACCAGCTCTGATGTAAATATCCCAACAAGGGTCCATTGTGTCTCATCATTCAAACGCAGAGAGATCCATTTTATTTCCTACAAACAATGTGCTGTTATGAATAACATTCTCTGCAGCCCATATATAACAATCTAAATCTGTGTTAAGGAAATACAAGTGCACTATGTTATTTAAATATGGTGTATGCAGATTAATTTTGAAGCCATGTGAATCTGTGGGGTAGGCATTTAGAAACCACAAATGGAAATCCCACAAAGTGACCACGAGGTGGCGCCTTTTAGCTGTAGAAAAACAGAAAGACATTGGGGGATACTGACTTGCTGATTTTGGAACCACAGCATGTTCGGTGCTGTGAAAAAGTATGTGCTCTCTTCCTGATTTCTTCTTTTTTTGCATATTTGTTACACTTAAATGTTTCAGATCATCAAACATTTCATCTTTTAAACATTTCGTGTGTGTGTGTGTGTGTGTGTGTGTGTGTGTGTGTGTGTGTGTGTGTGTGTGTGTGTGTGTGTGTGTGTGTGTGTGTAGACTAAGAGATCTCAACATCTGAGATCCCTTTGGAAGTATAATTTCTAAGGTTTTGGGACTTCAGTGAAGCACAGTAGGAGCCATTATCTACAAATGGAAAAACCTTGGAACGGCATCTTGAACATTCCCAGGAAAGGCCAGCCTATCAAAATTATTGCAATAACCCTTTAATGATCCATTCAGGAGGTTACAAAAGCACAGAGGACAACATCTAAAGAACTGCAGATCTCACTTGTGTCAGTTAAGTTCAGAGTTCATAAATCAACAAGTCCACCTTCGACTGGATTTTTAAAAAGGGGGAGGTTTTTGAGTGGCCTAGTCAAAGTCTGGACTTACATCAGATTGAGATGCTTTGACGTGACCTTAAACAGGCCGTTCATACTCGAAAAGACTCATTGCCAGTTATTACTAATGCTTGATCATCGGCCTAACTTTGTGCTGAACATTGGGGGGGGGGGGGGGGGTCAAGATCTCTTTCTAAATAAATAAATACAGCTGGGTAAATTCCCAGATGATTAAATATGCAACTATTTTGCAGCTCAGAGGAACAGAAGAAATATTTCATTTACACAGTCTCAGCAGGTTTGAAAAAGAAGTTAATGTTGGGTGTTTTATCACAACATTAGGCAGCTTCATAAATCACTGTCTTGTTTAAAGAAATCTCCTCCTGGTGGTATTTATGAGAAAACCACAGAAACATTGTCTAAACATATCAGATACTTTGGAAATCATTCTAGGTCTTGGAGGTAATTTGTCATTGAAGATACTTTAAGAGCTACAGCAGTGGATGAGTCTGCATTTTGGAGTGATGGTAAACATTTGCAAAAACCCTTTGTGGGGGACCGTGAATACCAACTGTCAGAGCACTGTGGACCGAAGAGTTGGACGGTTCACTAAGCATCTCAAAAACAGCTCCAAGTTGAAGCATATTACTGTACCGGCATGACTCTCATTATCCCAACTGGAGATGAGTCTGATAGCCTCAGCACATGCCTCAAATGATTAGTGTATGGTACAGTGCTTTGTGATATTGTCCTTTACATAATGTTTCAGTCAAACCGGGCATGGGGCTCTGTTGCCGGTTACTGGTCCATGCTCTGATGGCCTGCTGGCCTATGTCCAAACCTGCAAATACAGCTTCAGTGTTGTCCCTCCAGAGACAGTGGCCCTTCTATTAAAACCACTTATAATCTGCACATAGCTGTCTGTTTTCTACTGTATTGGCAACACTGCAATAATCCGTTTGAAGAATTTTAAATAAAGGATCTGCAAATGACCTTAGCTCTTCTCAGAGTTTAATTTGACTCAGTCAAAGTGCATGCCATTATAAAAAGAAAACAACAACAACAGCACCATACCATTTGTTTCAGGAACATTAATGAAAGCAAAGTTTGGGCTACCTCTCACTGAAACTCCTCTGTGAGTTAGTGACCGCCCACAACTCTTTCTACAACTACTGGGTTGGATGTATCACTCGCGCCTTTAACGCAAGACTGCTTAGCTCCCTCTGAAAGACGGACCATGGGTTGGAAGGAGAAAGGCTGGATT